GCCTGACCATTCTGAGCAAAGTGAAACTTAACCAGAGGGGTGCAGAAGAGGCGTTTCCGGCTTATACAGGTAATAGCTTGTAATGTCTGAGCGGAAATGTGACAGAGAGATGAGCTCATCAGTCTGCTGCTTCTCCTTTCATTATCCAATCACAGGCTGGGGGAGGGGCAATACCTGGAAAATTATATAGACCTAGCCTGTAACGTCTGCATGGCTGGTGGGCTCACTCTAAGTTACCATTGGAGTGAAGATGGGACAGTTCAGGTGTTTTTTGCAGACATTTGATCCCTGAACTCCGGCGCTTCCTGTCGTCTGATCGGCCGCGACATGTTGCACTCGGTTGCTTGTTACACAATTCAGCGTCTTGTAATAAGCGGGAGGAAAAGGAAGTGATGAAATCAGCTGTTGGCACAGACGTGGGAAATGATATAATCACTGCGAGAAAGCGCAGATCTTACATTCGCCGCCCGGGGACTATTCGCAGAGTCCGGCCCCGCCCCTTAAAGGTACCCCGCCCCTTAAAGGGACCCTGTCCCCCAGCATATCTAATAACATCCATGCAAAGCAGGTATCACTAGCTGCCTCCTGGTACCTTTACATCCCTTCTGGGGATCCTCCAATCCGGAGCTCTCCCATCCCCAATTTGTATCCAATCACTTTGTATCTGTCCGTTCCCAATATGGTGGATATTCAGCCCCCCGATACCCCCCTCACACCGCACACAACTTAAAGGGAATGATTTATAAAACTGGCCCCCACCCTTATGCTGGGTGAAAGCTGTTCGCAGGGCATTCCAGCCACTAGATGGAGCTGAGGAGCGTAGGAAAGTCGTCGGCTCCATCTAGTGACGGCAATGCCCTGGGAACAGCTTTCAGCCAGCATAAGGGTGGGGGTCAGTTTTATAAATCATCCCCTTTAAGTTGCAGTGTGTGGGGGAGGGGAGGGGGGGGAAACCATCATTAGAAAAAAGTGAATCCAGCAGAAAACTCATCCCATCAAATTTCTCTGTCCTGCGTTTCTGCCTTCGGGTGGCTACTCTGCTTTGCAGGGACCCCTGGAGCCTTAGTGTAGCCACCCATACATGTATGCTCCTGGCTGGGACTACACCTGGCATGCCCACACATATATTCCTCTATACGTTATCTCCTGTATATTCCTCTATACGTTGTATCTCCTGTATATTCCTCTATATGTTGTATCTCCTGTATATTCCTCTATACGTTGTATCCCCTGTATATTCCTCTATACGTTGTATCTCCTGTATATTCCTCTATACGTTGTATCCCCTGTATATTCCTCTCTACGTTGTATCCCCTGTATATTCCTCTATACGTTGTATCCCCTGTATATTCCTCTATACGTTGTATCCCCTGTATATTCCTCTATACGTTGTATCCCCTGTATATTCCTCTATACGTTGTATCTCCTGTATATTCCTCTATACGTTGTATCTCCTGTATATTCCTCTATACGTTGTATCTCCTGTATATTCCTCTATACGTTGTATCTCCTGTATATTCCTCTATACGTTGTATCTCCTGTATATTCCTCTATACGTTGTATCTCCTGTATATTCCTCTATACGTTGTATCTCCTGTATATTCCTCTATACGTTGTATCTCCTGTATATTCCTCTATACGTTGTATCTCCTGTATATTCCTCTATACGTTGTATCTCCTGTATATTCCTCTATACGTTGTATCTCCTGTATATTCCTCTATACGTTATCTCCTGTATATTCCTCTATACGTTATCTCCTGTATATTCCTCTATACGTTGTATCTCCTGTATATTCCTCTATACGTTGTATCTCCTGTATATTCCTCTATACGTTGTATCTCCTGTATATTCCTCTATACGTTGTATCTCCTGTATATTCCTCTATACGTTGTATCTCCTGTATATTCCTCTATACGTTGTATCTCCTGTATATTCCTCTATACGTTGTATCTCCTGTATATTCCTCTATACGTTGTATCTCCTGTATATTCCTCTATACGTTGTATCTCCTGTATATTCCTCTATACGTTGTATCTCCTGTATATTCCTCTATACGTTGTATCTCCTGTATATTCCTCTATACGTTGTATCTCCTGTATATTCCTCTATACGTTGTATCTCCTGTATATTCCTCTATACGTTGTATCTCCTGTATATTCCTCTATACGTTGTATCTCCTGTATATTCCTCTATACGTTGTATCTCCTGTATATTCCTCTATACGTTGTATCTCCTGTATATTCCTCTATACGTTGTATCTCCTGTATATTCCTCTATACGTTGTATCTCCTGTATATTCCTCTATACGTTGTATCTCCTGTATATTCCTCTATACGTTGTATCTCCTGTATATTCCTCTATACGTTGTATCTCCTGTATATTCCTCTATACGTTGTATCTCCTGTATATTCCTCTATACGTTGTATCCCCTGTATATTCCTCTATACGTTGTATCCCCTGTATATTCCTCTATACGTTGTATCTCCTGTATATTCCTCTATACGTTGTATCTCCTGTATATTCCTCTATACGTTGTATCCCCTGTATATTCCTCTATACGTTGTATCTCCTGTATATTCCTCTATACGTTGTATCTCCTGTATATTCCTCTATACGTTGTATCCCCTGTATATTCCTCTAT